GCCGCGGGGCGCGGGCCGCGTCAGCAGGCGCGCGAAGGCCCTCGCCATGCCCGCCGCCCCGCCCGGCGCGCGCCGCGCGGCGGCCGCCGCGGCACCCGGCAGGCGGCCTGGGCCCCAATCGTGGATCGCCTTGAGCCCGACCATTGCTGAAATCGCGTATCCCACGGCCGCCGCTGTTGCATCATCGAGCTCGGGGCGCGTCACGTCCTCAATACAGCAGGAGCAGGTCTGCAGGTTGAGGAGGTACAGCTCGGCCACGCAGCGCTTGCCGCCGCCGGGGCCCCTGGCGCGGCGGTCGGGGCTGTTGAGGGATGCGGTTGCCAGGGCCACTGCATCGGAGGACGAAGCCATGAGGTCGTTCAGGGCGTTGGCCAGCTGCGTCCCCATGTCGCTGTCGTTCCTTACCGGGTGCTCGGGCTCCTGCGCCGCCACGAGCGCAGCGATGAGGCCGGCGCAGCGCGCCAGCTGCAGCGTGCGCGCGCGCGGCTCCGTCCCGCCCGATGGGTACAGCGCGCGGATCGCGTTGGCCGCGAAGTGCAGCCGGCCCGCGTCGTCGGTGGTCGATACGAGGGCCGTCAAGGCCTGTATGCGGAGTTTAGACAGTGCAGGTGTGAAGCGGGCACGGGAATCCTTGGCAGCCGCGACCGTCAGGGCGTCCAGCCAACCGCAAACCTGGGGACCCATGATACCCGCCAGGTGTCCGGCCTGCTGTATTGTGGGCGAGAGGCGACCCCCGGCCGCACCCGCAGGTTCTCAGGGGACAGCAGCTCGTCAGGGTGTGCTGTGGATGCTTCCTGCAGCTTCGTCATCTCTGCGCACGGCTGTCGAGCGGCCGCCTCCACCCGCTGCGCGCCCACTGGCAGGTCCAAGATAGTTTTCAGCGCCGCGTTGACCGCCATGCTTGGTATGCCGAGCTGTCAGGCTGCTACTCAGCTACAGCAGGGAGCACTGCAGCACTGCAGCAGGTGCTGCCACGGGTGATGTGTGACTGGCAGCGCAGAATCCCGAGGTGATGACCTCCCCAAAAGTTCCAGCAAGATGAGAGAATGGAGCAGACGGTCTGAAATTGGGAGCTACGATAGCTCATAGCTGCGTACTGTGGCTGACAATGATCTGCGTTTCGAGCGACATTTCAACATTGGATACCGACAGGACGGCTAATCCCCCAGCTGACGCTCCATAGATGGAGGGTGCGACAAGGGCGGTGTTGATCACTCGTGGTTGCCGGGCATGGGGCGTGTCACTTGGTCACCACGACCTGCCATGCTGAGAAGTCTTTGTCAGCTCGTGCTGGTGGCTGAAGCAGGGTATTGTAGAGCTTCTGGTATCACAATGGATGCGGCCCACTGCACAACAGGGAGTGCATGTGGGAGTGCTGGTCGTTTGTGGGGACTGGTTGGAGGGATCGCCCGGCAGGCGCAGCCTCTCTAACGGTGCGTGCATGTATCAGGGCTTACCCGATCGTGCAATGCAGGCGAGCTGGTCTAACCCGTGCGCTGAGGCGAACGAGCGCATTGCAAGCGGTGCAGCGGCGGTCTTGGAGGTTTTAGGTTTGGCTGCGCACCCTGGCGCCATTGTTGCTGACAGGCACGCGCTTGGTGACGACTGGAGCGCCTGCTCGTTCTGCGGCGGCGCCTGCTGCCGCGGCGCGGCATGATGGCTGGCTCATTGCTTGGGCAAATGGGCATGTGAAGTTTAGCTCGCCTCTGCAGAGCCCGCTGCCAGGGGCATGGGCGGTTCTACTGGTAAAGTACTGGCAAATCTACCGGCAAATCTACTGGTACCGGCAAATGTCATCCAATTGTGACTTATTGGACGCCGACGCGCCAACGTTGATGTGGTTTAAGAGAGGCGATGCCAATGGGTTAGTGGGCTTAGGGGTGCAACTGCTGACACTGTGCAATCCTGGGGTGCCACTCCCGGTGTTGGAGACACATGTGTTGCACCGCACTCATGGCTCACGGGTCTCGTCTGACATGCACATCCGAGGTGTAGAAACGCAATGATTACCACCACCATCATAAGGAAGGGCGTAGCTCCATTCGGCCTCAATGCAACATTGTTGGGTGCAGCATTGCTCGTGCTGGGCGTACCATGCGGCCATTTTCATACGCCAGGGCAGTGCGTGCTCAGTCCTGGCTATGAGTCAGTCAGGACGACGCCGCAACATGGTCATGCAAGCAAACAAGCAAGCAAACAAGCAAGCAAACAAGCAAGCAAGCAAGCAAGCAAAGAAGAAAGCAAACAGGCAAGCAAGCAAGCACGCACGCACGATGCAGTCATATGTAAGATGCTAGAAGTGTGTGCACGATGAGCGCAAGCGTGGCTACACAGAGCGCATTGCAAAGGCGATTGTTTGCATATTCAAGTGTCGGCCCCTGCTGCGAGCGCCCCCGCCTGCTGCACACGCAGCTGCCTGCATCTGGTCCTGTGCCCGCCCGCCCGCTTCCAGTCTTGGGTCTGGCACGCTGCAGAGCAGTACAGCACCGCCAGGCACCCGCACAACCCATCACTTCTTCAGCACCCCGCCGCCTGGCGCCGCGGCCGCGCCGCACACTGCGCACGCCTTCCTTGCGCGGGCGCACTACTGGTGATTGCCGCGGCCGTTGGCAGGCTGCAGGGGACCGTCGCCGCTCGCGGGCTGTTGGACAGGGCAGCCGTCGCCACGGCCGCTCTCTGTTGCAGCCTGCAGACCGCCACCACCGCTGGCTGCCTGATCCCCATCTCCACCGCTTCCAGCCAGCTCACCTCCGCCACCGTCCCTGCCCCTGCTGCTGCTGCCGCCGCTGCTGCTTGCTCCGCCATCCTCGACCCCGGCCCTCTCTAGCTCTTGCCGCTGCCGCCGGGCCGCAGCCCACTTGCCAAGGGCTCCCCAGTCCGGCTCGCCCCAACCCTCGCAGACGCCCGCCAGATGCTCTTTGTCTGCTGCGCCGCCGCGAGCCACTGCGTCCGCCAGACGCTCCATGACCGGGATCAGATCACCAAGGCTTACTTGTTCCGGAGTCGTAGAGTTGGGCTCGGCGGCCAGACGTCGGAACGACGCCTGCACCTCCGTTGCGCCCTCGATGCCGAGTCGCGCCGCCGCCGACAACAGCGTCTTCACAGCCGCGCTTCTGGCCGTATGCACCACTATGTGGCACAGCACGCATCTCCCCACCTCGCGGACGGCCTCATCGGGGTGCCGCACCGCGGCGGCCTGAGCGGCCGGCCAGGCGGCGTCGCACGTGTCGAGTGCGGCTGCCAGCGAGAGGAACGTGCTGCCGTGCAGCAGGCGCATCAGCAGCAGCAGCGCCGCGCAAAGCCTGACAGTCGGGTCGCCCGGCCTTTCTAAGTAAGCATCCGTGCCCCGCGCGGCGGCCGTCGCCAGCGGGCCGAGGGGGTGCGGCAGGAGGCCGGCGGCGGCGGCGACAACTTGCAGCGCGGCGCTGACGGTGCGTGGCAGGTCGGGAACCCGTGGAATCAGGGCGTCGACGGTTGAGGGATCATTCAAATCCTGCGTGAGCAAGATTAGGGGGAAAGCGCGTGGCGGGGAGGGGTGAACGAGGTTGCTGTCAGCGAGCTGTGCGGAGTCCAAATCGTGAGCGCTGCATAGACAGGTGCTAGGGATGCAAGGGGCTTAGATGGGTGATTGTGTGCCACAACGCGCCCGCTGCCTGCAGCATGCGCAGGCGGAAAAGCAGGGACGTGACGAAATGAGAAGGCAGCAACAGGCTGGCGAGCAGGCAGCAAGGCAGGCAGGCAGGCGCCCGCTCGCTCGCACGCACACGCCCGCCCGCCGCGGGCCCGCTGCTCACCAGGCCGCATTCTGGGAGGAATCCGAGCGCGACGCTGGGGGTGCTGAAGACCGCGACAGCCGCCGGTGCGTGGGAATCAGTCAGCCGCCAGCCCTGCCGAAGGTAGTGCCCTGGCATGTCCAGCGCAGCAGGCAAGAACCGCTCCGCTGCCGCCATCATGGGGGCAGGCACCGGGGTCGAGAGCACCAGCGCCATGGCCGCCGCCCCCACCATAGGCTGCCCAGGAAGCAGCGGCGCCGCGACGGCCGCCGCGGCGGCGGGCGACACGGGGCATGAGGCGCCTTGCAGGGCGATGCAATGCGCCAACACCTCCAGGGCGAGCACCAAAGTGGACGTGGGCTCGTCTACATGGTCCCGTGGTGTCCCGCAGTGCGCTGGCCCGAGGGCACGCGTCACCCAAAACGCCTCTGTCGCGACCTCGGGGCAGCGCATGACGGCGATGCATTCCTCCCCGCCGCAGCCCTCCGCATCCTCATCTTCGTCGCCGACACCAGGGCAGGCAAGAGCTTGCAGTGCAAAGAGGGCGTTGTGTGCTGCGTCAATGTCGCCCCGCCGCAGCCGCAGCAGTCCTGCCAAGCCTGAGACCACGCCGGGCGCCGCGCGCAGCAGGGCGCACGTGAGCTGCGGGCGGCGGCCGAAGATGTCGCCGATGGCGCCGGCGGCATTTACAGCGGCAGTGACCCCATTCCCGATCGCCTCAGTCGCTCCACGAACGCTCTCGCGGCCGCCCACGGCGG